TTTAATGTGGACACCCAATTTAAAGTTTTAGGACGGGGTCTCAAGGCTCGTAGCCACAGGCAGAGTTCACTGAAGTATCATCAGCCTTTTAGTCTAGGGATTATCCTCTCTTTCTTTGTGCTTTCTCTCGCTCATGCAGCATGCTCCTCTTTCGAAGTTCTCACTGAGAAATTAATTGTGACTTCACATGAAACAAAGCGAAGAACTTCATGCTATGTTGATGAAAAAACACCACCACTGTGCTAAATCTCGGGTTTATGGTCACCCAATTGTAAAAAAAAAAAAAAGGCTTCAAATGAGGATCCCTGTGGATTGTTGCTTTGCTTGGAGTGCAACACATCTCCTCTAGCTGTCCAGCTGCCTTGGGCTGCTTTAGCCAAGATAACTGTAGTAATAGGCTCTGTGTCAATTGTAGAGGGGGAGGGGGAGCAGATAAAGAGTGCTTGAAAAGCTCCAAGTGGAAGGGAAATTCTTTATACACCTTGTTGCACTGATGTCCTACCCTTTCACCCCAAATAAAGATATAACACCTCAGATTGTGTCTCAGCTGTAGAAACAATCACCATCAGCAATAAAACCCTTCTAACTTTTCACTCTCTCCTCATCGTGCTGGCCATCTGTCAGCAGAGAGCCAGAAAATGAACCGAGTCTCCACACACAGACAGACAGGTTTTCTCTGTGTCATGTAGACCTGCACTCACATTGAAGGCCATTACTCACAGCAGGTATAGGGCATCAATCAGTCTGTCATGAGGTGATGCAGGGGGAGGCATTTCCCACTTGAACATGAGAGGAAGCCCTACTAAATTCCTCTCTCAGACAGACAGGAAGTAATTCTTGGCCAGACTTCAAAAGGCAGATTCTCCTATTTGGGCATGAAATTTAAAGTCCTGGTCACCCTGGCTTTCCTGCAGGAAGAATCTGTCAGTTGCGGCTTAATGTGACCCTACTGGATTTTAGGGAAAGTAAATGAAACAGAAGCAATTAAACTTATGCCAGCAACCAGAAGTCGGTAAAGTGATTAATTAAACAGAGCAACTGAGCAGAACAGGAGTGGTAGCCGTGTCACAGGGTCACTTCAAAATAAGGCTTGGCCCTTGAGTTTTGAAGACTTGTTCAGACTCAGTAAAGTTCTGGCTCATTAACTGTGTACGACAAGAAATCACAGTACCTTTTGCGATTGGTGCATTGGACTGAAACAGAGGAAAACCTCATTCGGCATGAATCAAGGTTTTCAAAAAAAAAAAGAATTCTCTTACAATAACAAACTTTGCATTGCAAAATTTTACCTTTCATTAATATTTAACATCAAGGTTTGGTTTCTTCAATTAAATGTGCAATACATGAAGGTGTTATAACTTGATTCCTAAAAGTACTAAAAGTAAGGGAGGTGCATCTGCAGGCTTTTACTGTCTCTTACATTAATAAAGCAAAATCCATTTGTGATTCGCACCATTCAGCCCTACCTAGACAGCAGAGAGTATTCCTGTAACAATACAGGACTCAAGAGGACTTGACAAGTTTTGAGGTTGAAAAGATATAACTGCTTAGGAAAAGGGGAAATATTGCTTTCAAATGATGATGAAAGTTAAATTATAGAAATTAATGTGTGATGCTTTGCCCTTTGGCATGGAATTAAATAAAAATAAAAAGTTGAAGTACATTTATACAGTTCATTTCAAAAATACAGCTGGAAGCATTCTTGAAGTAATCACCAAATGAAGGTTTCAGCATTTCTTTGCCAGACAGCTACAGTGTAGTTCATGAGTTCAGCAGTGCTTAATAATGCAAAACAAGCAACAGAAGGCAAGTCTGAATGATGTATGTTGGTCGAAACCAGTGAGAATAATAACAACCTAACCTTCAGCAGAATCTTATTTTCAAATCAGTCATTCCCAATCTAAGTTGACAGAAATGGATCCAAACATTTTGGGACATCGCTGTCTCAGATAAAGTTGTTCAGTACATGTATGAATGACAATGGCAATCGAATCAGTACCTTTTGCATCAGAGCTCCCATCGCTGGTGAGTGACAGTGCCGACATTCAAATGTCGACTCCAGGCAGTCACCCTCTGTAGATCCCAGCTGAGCTGACACAGTCTATTGCGTTGTTGCACTGGAAGTTTTTATGGGCGTACAAGAAAGGAACTTTGTCCATTTGGGACACTGATACACAAAGCTAATGCACTGTTCCTGACTGACCTCAGTTCAGCCTTGAAATTATTAAGCAGTTTGGTCTGTTGTCAGTTCAGGATAAAACATAATACTCTTTCGAACTACAACAGTTTCCTAACATTAAACAAAAATATAAATGCTACCTTGACAAGATGTTAATCCATTAAACCTAATGAAGAAATTTAATCTGGGTAGGTAAAGTTACTTACTGATCCAGGTAATCCACAAATATGGTATGTGTCTAAACACTGGTGGACTCTACTACTCTACTCTATCTTTAAAACATGATAAAGTGCCACCTAGGGTGCCCTTCTAGTGGAGAAAACGTCATGCAGTACACTAATGGGTGTCCTTAAAATGGTGAAAACGTAATGAATACCCTCTATGGTGTCCTTTCAGTGTAGAAAACAGGATGCAGGACACTAATGAGTGCCCTTAAATTGGTAAAAAATAAATAAAATCCCTCATAGAGTGCCCTATAAAATAGAGAAAATGTGATGTAGTGCCATATAGGCTGCCAAACATTGCCCTATAAAATGTGTTAACTAACTAAACGGCCTGGTGCCCCGGCACATGCAGCTGGTGCCCTTTATATTTGGAAAGCCTGAGTACACCACTGTGACTAAACAGACATGATGTACTGTACTGCCACAGTCCTAATTGATTATAAGTAGTATTGACATGCTGCTGAGGCTCAGCTGAAGTTAGAAGATGAATGAAAAAGTGTTGATATCAGATAGAAAGTTGAACTTTATAGCAGCAGTCTCTGGGGGAGAAAAATGGGGCTCAAACTGCAATGTTGACCTGGAGATGAAACCTTCTACTAATGTAATACAGTAGTCATGAGAGCATGAAAGTGCCAATGTTACCTGGGTCTGCATACCTATAAAAATGTTACATGTGACATGCATCACCCAGGTCACAGGGGAACAAATATTTATCTTGGTTTTCTGTTGTCAACTCTGCCTAGTGCATGGCTCCGTGAACAGCATTTTCAAGTCCGGCCATCTGAACTCTTATGTTGCCTCTCCAGGACATCAACATTGTTGTTTTCCCATCATTCTTGTGCAGCAATAACTTTGTTTTAGTTGTTAGCTGGTTAGGTTGCAGTTATGATTTGGACATTAATGTAAAATCCACAGAACCCTGGGAGCCCTCCCTTTCTAGAGATCTGCTTGCACCAGCTTGAATACAGGCATTGTAGTACATTATCAAGGGCAGGCAGAATCAGCATCATACAGTTAAGACAGCATGAATGAAGAACAAATAGCCATGACTCAATTCATCCTGGCTGCTTTGCACCACAAAAGAATGGCTGATGTCATTTGAGTTGGAGGAGCAGCTTCAGTTTCACATCATGCCACATCACTGAACCCCCACCACGTATCCTGCTGCATCCAATTTCCCTTTCTGTTTACTACAGCAACACTATAAATGATGTCTATCATTTTCACTTTGATACTTTTCATTACTTGGTAATATGGATTTTATTTTTTAAATTACCAGAAGTCTTTTATATTCTGGCCAGCGGGACATTTCTGCAGCTCACAGCTTGATGCTGTTGCGATCCAGATGATTATACCCAAAGGGGAAACCTTCAACCTAATTTTACACTTATATACACTTTGATCAGAGGTGTGACATTTTTGGAATACAAGAAGAGTTGTCAGCTTTGTTCAGAAGTGCAACAGCCTTTCCCATGTAAGGTGTAAACCTCTAGCTGTTTGACTCAGAGCTTTTAAAGGCTTAACAGCAACAAAACAGACTTCATTTATGTTTTGATTTTTTTTTCCATGATTAGATGAGGGATTTAGTCTAGCAATGTCTTACCGGGTGTGACAACTCTTCTCACTATAATACATGCAGCCATGTCTTCTGTCTTCTGTCATGTTTCTAGAAACGGGAGGGAAAACTCAGGAAAAGCCCAGTTTGATCCACAGTTTCTCACCACAGAATCTTAATTTTATGCTCTTGAATACCAATCATATCATTGGTTCTCCAAATTAAACTCTTAGTCCTCATTTAGAAGTAAATACCATTGACTGTATATATAAGGTAAATACATGAGATGGCAATTATACAATAATGGAATGCTTTTAATATGCTCTTATTTTATCTCATCTATTTATCTATCATCTATCTATCGTATCTATTTATTATCTATCCATCTATCATCTATCTATCTATCTATCTAATAGCCTCATATTGTCAGACATGGATAACACTATCTGAAAAACATGTACACACACTTACTAATGACTAATGCCACTGAGGCTCATCAGGTGGTTTATGGCGATGTACAGTTGCTCCACAGCGTTAGAGCGTGTTATCCTTTCTTTGGCATCCAACTTGAGCATGTTTGTCTAAGAAGCAGGGTCTCACAAGTGGTACTTCTGGAAGAGGCCTGGAAATACTGCATTTGGACACAAAGTAAATAACACTAAATTCCACCTCACTTTAAATAAACAGTATTTCTGAGTGTGTTTGCTTCAGTCAGAGCACATTTATAAATACGTGTAAAATGTATGAGTTGTCATCGTAAAACTAGTTGTAAACATTGAGAAGTACTGCACACTACTGACTACCCATCTGAACTGAAAATATATATAATCCATTTCATTCTTATAATAATAATCTATAATATAATATAAAAGTGTAGGATGCAGAAAATACCAACAAGAACTGATAAAAACTGATAAAATCCCGTAAAGGGAGGTGGGAGATGAAAGTCTGCTACAGGACTGGCTTTGATTAAATGTATTGACCGACACTGCCGCTGTGTGGCGTCACAGAGTATTGCATTTAAATAGGCGTAGGAACCAATGTAAAATCAGTGTTTCCTGTCGGAGTGTGAAAGCTGATGGTAAAGCCTGTAAAATCAAAAGCCTGTGCTATCTTTAGCGACACATCAAGTACAGTTTTGAACAGTGTAAAAACGTAAATGAGACTTATATCTTAGCTCATAGTGGCTGCGGGACTGTGTGATGTTTGTTCTGAATGTGTCTGCTGTGTTTTCAGCGCCAGTTGACCGTATTTCACCGTAACTTTCCCATGTACGCCACAGAGCCACTGAGGTGAAACCGAAGAGTGGGACCTCTTTTATTTCATCCTTCTCTAGTGTGTAAGTAAACATTGACCCAATATAGCATTTTAGCCAGTAAATAAGTGATATTACTGTGAGAGGTTTAGCCGGTTTAACGTAGCTGCTCCCGCACAGGCAGATGCTGCGTTAGGCTGTGTTATAGGTCGCTGTTGTTTTTCTCCTCGCAGGTTAAAGACTATGAGTAAAGAGTCCAGAATGAGGGCAACGATTAACCAAAAGCTGACCGAGATGGGGGAAAGAGAGAGGTGAGATAACCAAACAGCTTGTTTTAATAAGTAGTTCATGCTCTTCAACGACGTCAAATAGCTGTGTGTTATTATCCGCCTACATGCTGCGGCAGTATGTATCAACATTGTGACTAATTGCTGATGAAAGTAAAGCCATTGTTTTACAGCTAAATACCTTTTCTGTAATGTCTTATTGGCTCTTTATCTTCACATAGGTGTCTATTTTACTATATTGTTCATTAAATATTATTTAAAGATGTGCATTAACACACCTCTGTAGTATTGTTAAGGGTTACCAGCTACTTTATTCCTTACTGTTCTTTTTGTTCAGCAAAGACGTGAGGAACTAACCTGGCATACTGTATGAATATAGAATATGTTTAGCTGCTCCAGGCCATAAGGACGATATTCAGCTGTCAGATTTCTATATGCTGCACATGTATGTCTGTTGATATTCTCAACATATCAGATTATGGCCTACGTCAAATAACTCCTCCAGGCTAGGAGGGAGACTGCTGCTGCTATCCCTGATTCACTTTCCTGGCATGCAAAGACGCATCACTCTGCATAATCTGAACAGTGCATATCTCAACATAACAGAGAGAATGTGAGAGAGAATATGTTGTATTCACGATGCCACTGTTGACTATGTTAGCGTAAGACAGACACGTGCCTGCTATACTTTGACATGTGTTTGCATCTTATTGACAGGCTGAAGGAGCTACTGAGGGCGAAACTCACTGAGTGTGGATGGAAGGACCAGATGAAGGCTCACTGCAAAGGTACACGTTACAGTACTGTTGTTAAAACACATAAGGTAAATGGTCATTGATTTGCTGCTATTGGTTGACTCCCAAACGAACTGAAAGATGCCGTCATCTGCTTACTTGTCCGTCTTGTGAACCTTATATATCCACTTTAAAGGACCATGTAGGTTTATTGCGTAGATAACTTTGAGGTTTAAGTCATATTTAAAGAGTTATATTATAATATATATATATTATAATACATACATTACATTTTCTGCATTTTTATACTGACCCTAATTCAAAATATAGGTCTGTTTTACACACTATTGATGTACGCAGACCTTTTACAGCATCATGAATTGTTACTGACTTAACTTAGATAACAAATGTGTTAACAGAGCCATCAATATGTATGCCCATAATAACAGGTTCCAGTTTAGATTTATTTGACATTTTAATACATACCTTACACATTCATAAGGCCCTATTGTGCCATGTGTCTAGAATGTAAACAGAAGTTCTATCAATAACATGACTGGTGTGTATTTCCTCACTTTGTTCTGCCATTGAAGCATGAGTCAGCTCTACAACTGAAGTGAGGAAAACAACTTCCTCTAGAGCTTTAAGAGCAGAGACCGTTTAGGACATAATAAAGTACATCACGTATTTGAGTGTTGAAACTAAAGTGCAGCGGTTCCTGCTATGGAACTCTTATTAGGCTGCACACTGTTTGTGTGTTTTGTGATTTTTTTTTTAAAACATTGTTAACATATCATCCACTTTTTGTCTGTAGAAGTAATCAAAGAAAAAGGCTTTGAGCACGTGACTGTGGAGGACCTGGTGGTAGAGATCACTCCTAAAGGAAGAGGTAGCTTGACATGACTATTTGGAAGAACTAAAGAGATTTTGTGCTTGTATTGTTGTACTCTTCTCATTTTCACTGCTAACCACGCTTGATTACTAAAAATCCACCCTAAAAGACAACATGTTAATGTTACAAATATATATTAGTAATATACACACCGGTACATTGCAAACAGAACACTTAGGCTTTGCTATCCATCCATCAAAGAGGACACAGAGATGCCAGTTAGTTTACAGTAGAAAGTGATGCAGTCACAAGATGTTATATTTCCAGTAATGGATGTGTGATGGTGTGAGTGTATATACAGGCGTTTTGCAGCACTACTTGCATTAGATTGTATCTGTGTGAAAAAATAAGTCATAGTCATGGATATCTTTCTCTCTTGCAGCCTTGGTGCCAGACAGCGTCAAGAAAGAGCTTCTCCACAGAATAAGAGCCTTTTTAGCTCAGCATGCCACCTAATTTTATCATTTCCTTAGACCACTAACTTGCCTATACTATCATGATAAAGAATATTTTTAACTTGAATTTTAAAGATTTCCTTTTCATTAAATTGAATTTTCAGTGTAATACTGATACACGCTTAGCTATTTGGTTGCATGTATTTACAAATTCTGTTGCTACAGTTGTCACTTATTTGTAAATGTGCGTACTTTGCACATTTAGTTGTCCTCTGTGTATGAGATATGCTATTTAAATAAAGTTTGATTTGTTGGACTTTTAACTGTCCTGACTTTATTCTTTTCATTAAAACATTTGTAGCAGTTCTTGTTTTAAATAGAAATACAATGACCACTTTTTTTCAGTTCCTCCCTGATACCTAAATTGGGATATCTGCCGATACAATAATGATATCACTTAATCAGATTGTTAGTATTGTAGGTTCAAGTCTAATTTTAAATTGTAATTGTATTGTTTTTTTTTAATGCGGTATTGAGTGGATACATAGTTACGGATTGCATGATTGTGTTTGGTATTATTATGATGCATCCCATGAAGTAAATCCTTAAAAATATTATTAATCAACTAACTAACAACTAACTTGTTTAATTTAGGTGTTCAGTGTATGAAGTTAATTTCAAGGTGAAATTAGATTTATTAGTGAATCCATAGAAATAAATCCTGATATGTTGTCTGTGAGGACCGCAGTGGTGTTGAAGGTTAGACAAGCGAGCTTGTGACCAGAAGGTTGACGGTTCAATTCTCTGGACCAACAAGATACATCTGAGTGGGTACGCGACCCCTCCCTCATTATCACCACTGATGTTCACTTGCAAGACCCCAACTGCTCCAGTGGAGCTGCTCAGTGGACAACAGATCCAGACTGTGGTTGTACTGGGCGTTCCTGGAAAAGAGAACATTGCTCTCAGTGACATACTCCTGAATAAATAAAGGTGAAAATGAAAAATATGTATTTAAAGTGCGAGAATGACTTCCAGTTTTTGTATGCTTTGATATTCTCTCTCCACCTACACTGTTATGGAATTAAGTATAAAATAAACAAAATATTTCTTCCTGGACATGTTATCAAATGGTCCAAGCTCTTTCCCACTGCACGTCACATTTAAATGAGGAGCCGACTGTATGATTAGTGTGTTATCCCCGGTATGAAGACGGCATGCAGCTGTACATCTGGTCCTTCAAAGATGGAATCAGAAGAAAAATGAGAGAAACGGAAATAGCTGACAGGGAAAAAAAACAGTTATTTACCATAGTTACATGAATCACACCCAGCTGGTGCAGTGAATTAATACTGTCCTTTGATTTAACAGACTTAAATCCAAAGATCCATGATCCTGTAATGACAAGACTGTTGCTACTTTTACATCCCAGAAAAACACAATGTTCCCAACAGGAGGGGGAGAGGTGGGGGTGGCAAGAAAGAGATCATGAAAAGATAAACAGGAAGTGACCCTGGGGTGGATGCACCGGGGGACAGACTGCCTTCACTGAAACTGGTTGTCGGATAGTTTCAAGGTGCGTAGTGTATGAAATGCACACAAGCGTTCCAGTGTGAGAGTTACAACACCATGGTGAGATGGCCATGAGCTCTCCACAGTGCCCTGACTGCCTAAACACAACCCTGGTATGTTTTTTTGTTTTGATGTTGTCGTGCAGCTTCACAATCTCCCCATCCATGTAATAAAAACAGGACTATTACAGGAATGTCTGCTCCTGAAGCAGCCTTTGTTTCACTTTTTCCCATCCACATGCTGGACCGTATCATTTTGTTTTGTTGAAAGGTCTCTATAGTTACACACGCACAATGCCTAATTGGTTATGGATTACATTTGGAAAGGCCGTGAACCCAAAACGACGCACGCCCCTCGGCACGAGTAGCACATTAGTGGGTAGTGAGTGAGTCTGTGCTGGTCACCCACCCAAGACAGAGAGTGTGTTTTCTTAGCCGAAGGACCTGCTGTGACATCAGCCCAGGTGACAACATGCTGATATACAGTGCTGTTGTGGGGGCCAAATGTAACGCACCCCTTCAGCCCAGCACACACGCTCCTTTAATGGCCTGCATCAATCCCCATGTTATCAGCAGATCTCCCTGGGCCCCCGCATATAAAGGGGGTTCTGCACACTGCAGCGCACCACAGACCAGCACTGGATAGAATTACTAGTGATGCAATTTATTATCATACAGATTTTTATTTACTTTCTCACTCTCAGTTCTCAGCTTTTCTCCATCACTCAGGACCTGCACAGCTCTGCCGAGGAGCTGTACAGTAACCAGATGACTCTGCACATCATAAAAAAAAAAAACTAGAAAAGTGGAGTTGTCCAAATAAAAGGAAAACATGATTTAAAAAATCCCATTCTCCTATTCATTGGCTTAGGGTTGTACATCTTGGACGTGGCAGGCAGAGATTTAAATGAACCTCAAAGACCTGTTTTGATGATTCGCAGCAGCAGCTGATAGCGAGGAAGCACACACTTTGTAGCATCCTGTGAGGCACCCTCTGAATGAACCACCGTATGTCAGGCAACAACAAAAGAGCAAGAGTGGCCTTATTCCACCAAAGTCAATATCAAGCTGTGTCTGAACAGCACTTAATGACATTTAAAAGGAAAAGACAAACATGTTATGCGTGTCTTCATGTGCTTTTTGTGTGCGTGTAGGTAAGTGTGCGAGGATATGTTCACCACCCCTGGAATTGGATCATTTCAGCATGATAGCAGCTGTGTCAACAGACAGTGGAGCCAAAAGTGTGGTCCTGTATGCTGAGTCCCATAGGTGCTCTGCGGTCCTCTCTCTGGTGAAGCTGGCAACATCCAAAGACCATAAACACCTCCGTTACTGTACAAACAACTGAAGAAAAGGCAGTGCAGGGAGGAAGCAGATGGCAGGGACTTGATGTTCATATTATAAACAAATGTTGGGAAATGATGATGTTATAGCACATTGCCTTATTTGGGATAACAGTGCACCTGCTTCAGGGGGTAATGCTTGAAGAAGTGTCCATGAAATGCTGTATCACGAGCTCTGATCATGTAACATCGATAGATAAATCTCTCCGTGTTTACAACACTATATCTGACATTTCTAATTTATAGTACACTGCGATGGGCTTTTGTGTCTCATATAAATTTTCCTATCTTTTCTTCATAATGGAAAGGGCAGAGACATTGCATAAGCAGACAAAGGGTCAAAGAGGGTGTTTCAAAGCAAAAAAAGGGGCCATGTGCTCCTACAAATTCCCAAGACCCGGTGTGCAGTTGGCCCTCTTTACTGTCAACATGTGTGAATGCCATGCTCGATAAATTTCTCTTTGAATTCCCTCACTAGAATTTATGAGACGTGCAACATGGGGTTGCAACTCTTTTGAAGCCTACGCACTTGCAGCACTCGATGCCGTTTACATTCTCATTTTAAGGGGGGTAAAAAAAAAAGAGCAGAAATGGGGAGAAGTTGGCATGTAGCATCCTGCAGTGTAAAGAGTTTTAAATGTATTTACACTCTGTTGTGTCTCCTGGGAACTGTTTTCTACACACTAATGAGGCTGAGGAGCAAGTTTCATTCTGTTATTCCTGGCATCGATGCACCAGTCACAGGCATACCACTCACACTCTCTCTTTTTTTCTCCCCCCTCCCTTTCACTCTCAGTAGCCCAGTGCAAATAATAAATAAGAGGAAATACATCATCCCTTTTTCAGTCCGAGAGCCAAGAGTTGGTGTGCCAAAGTTAACACAAAGCAATCTTAGGTAATGATCAGCAAATGTGTATAAAGTTTCATAGAGCATGACTTCACATAATTCTTGTTTAGATCATGTTGGCTGGCTCAATCTCAACTGTGATGCCTCTGTAGAAACCATGGTTACACACACCACACACACACACCACACACACACACACACACAACACAGCACACAAGTTTTCTCTCCTGAAGCTTGTTTGTATCACGCTTAAAAGCAGCACTTCTGTTTTATACGTGCTTGTAATGGATTTGATACAGTGTAACATTGTGGCAAGGATTAGCTACCAGTCATAAATTGTGGAATTTTAACAGAGGCTTTATTACACTACATTACATACTCTTATAACCACTCATTCTGCGAGAACTGTGTCAGATTTTCCGTTCATTTACACACATTGGTGGAATGGATACGAAACATTTCATTATGGCTCAATTGATGAAAACAATTTGCTCAATGTCAAAAAGGAAAAAAAGAAAACGTCATTGAGCTGTTTTTAGTGCTCTACCTACAGCACAGCCCGCGTGCAGATGGAGAGCCGGGGGGTCTCTATGCAACAACACAGAGGAAAGAAGCGAAACACAATCCAGACATTGTTTACCCTGTTTCTGATGTAAAGGCCACTTACTGTCGTGTTCAATGCCTAACCCTTAATTTGCTGCCCCAGCCTTTGAAGTGTGTGCATATTTCTGTTTCCTGACACTACCTTTCCTCTCTCTCTCTCTCTCTCTCTCTCTCTCTCTCTTGCTCTCTCTCGCTCTCTCTTTCCTCCAAGCCCCAGCAGTTGATATTGCAACTGGATAGGCCATGTTTCCATGTAGGGGCTCTTTTTTAGGACTGCTCTGATGATAGAAAACACAAGTGGGGAAGGGGAAAAGGAGTGCTGGGCGCACAGATCCACAGAGAGGCCCCGGCCCCAGCCCTGGCCCAGACAACGCTGCAGGGGATTAGAGCACACCCTGGCAGCAGAATGGTTTCACTTAAGAATTTCAGTAATCACTTTTAGGAGTGTAATATATAGCTGACCTTCGGCAGCGCCACACGACCCCCCGCTCCCCCAGCCATTTGATCAAAGGAAGCGGCAGTGGCTGTGCAAACAGGCGCTATCAGTGGACTCCAATGGATTTACTGCCTGCTTCTTCTCTCTTGTCTCCCCTGAGTCGTGTGCTGATACACACAGAAACCCAGTTTCATCTTACAGAACCTATTTTTCTCCCAGTACTAATTTACGGGCCAGATCATGACTTGAGGGGACTTAGAGGAAGGGAGGGAGAGGGGAGGCTCAGGGGGCCTCAGGGAAGGGGAGAGAGTGGAGGTGGGAGCAGCTCGGGGGCCCTTATCCACTGCCTGCTGACTGGGCCGAGCAGAGCGGCTCTCATCATCATGGGAAAAGCCCAGTAGGTGCTCTCTTCTCAGCTGGAGCAGCCAAACACCGTGGCCTGTGCTCCGCAACAATAGGGGAAATCAGAAAAAGGACAGAGGGTTGGCCCAGTAGGGTTTATATAGTGCCCTAAATCACAGGA